GGGAAAGTAATGTGTAACAGGAGAGTGGAGTAAGTGGGGGGGGGGGGGGGGGCCCAGACTGGCAATAATCTCTTAAATCAGAGAGTGTCAATACTGAAAAGCTTTTTGTCTAGTTGCAAGGGTTTGATCCAGCTGAGCTGAAGGAAATACTTTTCTTTTTTCAGTGATCAATCCATATTGAATCCCTTGTGCAGTAAGCAGCCATAGAAAGGTTTTGTGGAATTAGTATTATAAATCACACATTCAATCCCTTTGTGAGTGTTGAAAGCATTGTCATTCTTCTAATCACTATATCCTATCTTTGATCCATAACAAATATGCACACCCAGCTCTACTAATCTCCATTATGATTGTGAGATATCTATATTTGTCAGTTCTATGCCAACAGAAATAGTTAAAATTTTTCTTCATCCTATGATTTTGGGTTTTACTTTTTTTTCCTGATTGAAACACATTATTTGCATAATGGCATTTCCTTTATAATTCAAAATAAAAATAAATACGATGCTGGAAAGAAGATCAAGTCTTTTTAATTAAAACCATATTTATAATGAGAAAATCATTACAATAAGAAAATCATTTGGTCGTTTTAAGTGGTCATAATTCCCAGATTTATTTTTAGTATGATGTGACTGTAATAATACCAGATATGTGCCATTTTATTATATAACTGAAGAGAGATTACTTGAGTTACTTTTAGAATCCCATCACACATAGCCATTATTATAGACACAAGGTCAGAGATGTTCTTGGCTTTGAAGAAAGCTGTAAGCAATAAATGGAGAAATTACAGCTAAACACCTGCCAAAGTATTTGCTGGACTCAGCCCTATATACTTGATTTTGGTTTAAAATTTGATCATATTATCTCTGCTCTCTGTTGCCTTTCAGTTAATACACCAGAATTTTCAGCTGGCTATTCCAGTCCAACTCTTCTGTTCTCTTAGGACAACAGCTTGACTGTGGATATATAGATGTAGATATATGTGTGTGTGTGTGTGTGTGTTTGTAGATCTCATAGGTTTCACAGCTGAAGACTCAATGTTGGGGGCCATAGAAATCCCATTTAATCACAAGAAAAGCCTTCATATCTCATCAGTGCCTTCAGCAAAAGGAAATTCCCTGCAAAGGGTGAGGAGATGTATCTGCAGAGGCTGAAGTTCCAGCTGCCTCTAAGGATAATGTTAAAAAAGATTTAAAGGATTTGTGGCATGGGATGGATGTTGAAGCAAATATTCCCAGATACTGATTCTGAAAAGGGGAAAAGATTGTTTGTTTGATGGGTACTAGGAAAGCCACCTGATGAGCTATGAAATTGTTGGGATGGAACAGAGAATCTCTCTCTTTTGAAGGAACGGAAGGAAAGGTCAAGTGTTGGACTCCCTCCCACCTTGCCACTACCTAAAAAGATGTAAACTTGAAACTACATGCACTGCAGATACTTAGTCAGCTGCCTTGTTGGCTGGTGAGGAGTGGAGGAGGAATTAATTTAATCTCGTTCTTCCTTGTCTGCACAGGGAACTGAGCTCATGTGATAGAAGGAAAAGCACATGGTGAGCTAAGTGGCCTTCCTGATATCATTCCGTTAAAACTGCTCAGCAGGGAGATTCATCCTTGAAATGCTTGAAGCAACAGCAGAAGCTTAGGCCAACTGCTGGGAGGACCAACCAGTTTCCGAAATGCTGAACAGCTGCTGCCCCTGAGGAGTCCTAAAATGTTACCAAATCCAGACCTTCTCCTACTTTCCCATAGATACTAGTTGACTATCCTTATTTTATAGGTCTCACTTATGATTTGAGGGTGTTACCAGTTGATTCTCCCATTCTCACATTTCAGTGCAAAACTACAGGACATGTTACAGAGGGCCTCTGGGCATCCTTCTCCAGGGCATACATCATTTTTGCTATATGCAGGTTATGTATGTCCCCTGATAGAGTAAATGGCCAAAGTGTTTTTGTATATGCATGATAATGCTGCTACACATCCCACAATTGCTTACTGTCCATTTTAATACATCTCAAGAAAATGTGCAGTTAATGCAGCCTGAAATAATTTATGCTCTAGGAACTGCAAGCTGGGTAAAGCTGTGGAACTGCTCCCTGGGGAAGAATTTAAATAAGCCAGCCTTGATTTTGTACATTTGATTCTTCAGAGCTGAAGCCAGCCAAGAAAGCCATGTATGATGGATACTAGTCTCTCCCCATGCTTTTGTGCAAAACTGGTGTAGAGATAGAGACTGGGAAACAAATAATTCTTTGCAAGTACAGGAAAACAGAGCAAATGAATTGAAAATATAATGTTATGAAATGAAAGAAGAGTAACATTCCTCCAGTCTCCATTGCTCAAACTCTAAGGTACCAAATCAAGCCCATCTGCACGAGAAGATCAGTTTGAAGAAGACATGAAGTATTATTTTGACAAGAATATTACAAAGAGTTGATCAGCTCTGCATCTCTTCTCCAATACAGCAATATATGGGTTATATCAGTAAAACATATGTTCTGACAGAAAACACACTGCAAGTTTTGAAAAAACAAGATTCCAAATAGATAATCTTTTCTATTCTCTAGTGGAAATACCATTTTTTCAAGCAGCAGATACTGTTGGGAGGGGAAAAATGCAGACTTTAGTCCATTAAGTCACTTGAGCAACTTTAACAAAGAAGTAATTTTAAGACTCGTGCAAAAGTGTCTCTCCTACCAAGCTCTGCTTCTTATATCAGTTTATTTATATTAACTGCACTCACTGTCCTAGTTTGCTTTCTTGCTTCCTGAAAAAAAAAAAATCTGTGTATGTCCTGAAATACTATTTTTGCAATTTGGGTAGGATTCTACAAAGTGAGTGTCATTGATGTGCATGTGTTTATCTCTGTGCATAATTGAATTCCCATCTCCTCTGATACTGCTTCTTCCATGCTATAGTACTGCAGCTACTTTAAAACACTCCTTGAAACAAAACAAACAAAACTTCCAAAAATATGTTGAGCAATTACACAAGAACGGGCGCACTGATTGAAATACACAACAGAAACATTTCCATTTATTTTTCAGTAAATCATAACATAAAAAAGATGCCCAATAACTGAAATAAATACCTACATGGTTGCTCTGAATCAAACGAGAAACATCAAATGCATTTATTTTTGCACAAAGTAAGTAAAACACAGTTGGCCATTCATACACTGCATTGTGGGCATCCTGCCAGCTGGAGTTCTGCAAACAATGTACATACATCTAACCCCATTAGCAAAATTAAAGTGATTGTATACAGTGGGTCATGATTTACCTAGTTAAGAACTCTTTTGTTACACTAAAGAAAAAGTAAACAAAAAACCTTAGAGGCTTCCTTACCGTCATCGCTGCAACCGTTGGATATTAATGTATTCATAATTTTTCATTTCACTATCTGTGCTTACTTCTCCTTTAACTGGCCTGGTAAACCACTATTCTCAGGTGGGTGAGTTGTTATAATTTATGTCAGGAGTATCGCTCAGGTCTCATGATGTCAACTCTGAATGATACTTACAAAACTGAAATGTAATTAATTGAACTAAAAAAAAAACCCAAAGTAAAATACAAATTAAGAACTAAACTAAACTAAACTAAAATATAAAATATAATAAAATCTGGCAACGGAAAGTCGCTACTACAACGAGCCACACAATGTGCTCCAGCGTCCAGGAAGGCGCCCGCAGATTTTGGCCCTTGAGAGCCCGGCAGGTACCTGCTGCCCGGTGCCCCGAGGGCGCGTCCCCGCAGGACTGGGCCTCCGGAAGGGGCGACGCTCCTCTGCGCTCCCGCCGGCAGCAGGGCGGCACTGCCCAGGGTCCCGTCCACACAGAGGCCTCCTGCGCCCTGCGGCGTCTGTCGGGGAGGGAGAACAGCGACTGAGAAGCAGGTAGAGGGGAAGCCGGACCCGACGGGTGGGGCGCATCCTCCAGGCTCTCCCTGCAAGGGACGGGGCAGCGGGGGTGCGTGTCGGCCGGGAAAAGAGGGTCGCTTAGTCGTCACGATCGGAGACAAGAAAAGTTCATGCAGCAAAGGCTCCAAAGCAAGTGCTGACCCCGTGCAGTGCCCTCACCTGCCCGGGCGCTGCTCCCGAGAGATAGGGAGGTAAATGCCACCTTATCGCATTGCACCGTCCCGTGACCTCGCGGACCGGCAATGCTGGGGGCAGCGGGAGCCTGGTCGTGCCAAGGGCACCCCCACCAGCTCTTCTCAGCGAGAGCTCAGAGCAGGAGCACAGAGCCGGGGCGGCTCTGCCTGTGTGAGGGAAGGAAACAAGCCACTAGACTTTACAGACGTCTTGATGGGCTTTTTAGGAAGCGAGGGGTGCTCCCGGCGGTTACCGGCCCCTGCTCCCGGAGCGCTCTAGCACCTCCCGGCTCCCAGCCAAACCACCCGGCTCGGGGCAGCAGCGCGTTCCCACCCGATTACTGTTTGCTCCCTTGGATGGGAGAGGAATTTGGATTGGAAAAGATGGGAAGAGGGATTTCCCACCTTCGGGATGGGTGGGTAAGGACAGGGAAAAGGAGAGAGTTTGAGGGGCCCCACTGCCTCAGAGGAGAGCCGCCTGGGTTGGACCCCCCTGGACATCAGGCAGAAAGAGGGTCTGGGGGGGAAAGAGTAGGTGGCTGTACTGTGAGCATAAAGGAAGGCATCCTGATGCAAAAACCTCGTAGCTCTTTCTCCAGCTAGACGTCTACCACGCACAAGAGCTGCCGAGAAATTCCCGGCCAGGAGACGATGGAGTTGGGGTAAAATCAAGACCTTCCAAGTTAAACCGATGGGGTGGCGACAGGCCCTGCCCCTGCCAGGGGAAAGGTAAAGCTGAGCGATCTGAAACAGCCCTCAGCAGTTAAAATCAAAGCCCCCGCTGATTCCGCCGGTCGCAGTCCTGTGCGTGGGGCGGTACCTGCGGACGGCGCTCCCGAGCTCCGGTCCCCGCGGTACGACAGGAAACCGCTTCCCACGGGCGAGACCCTTCGACCCGGCTCGACAGCACTTCCCAAAAAGCGGCCACTTGCTGAGTGGCCTTTGTGGGGCCCAGCTCCAACAGCCGGCGCTGGTGACAAGGGATCCCCTGGGCGTCTGACCCTCCACACACATGAGAGTGCTTTCCTTTCTCAGGCCAGTTGCTGTGTTTCCCCCCTTGGCAGTGCTCACCGGTGGAGCTGGGAACTGAGACCCTGATCCCGCTTAGAAGCAAAAACACTGCTCACCTCGGCCTGTGCTGCTCTCCAGACTGCACAGACAGCAACCACTGAGAAAAAGGAATAAATAAATAAAATTAAAAAAAAAAAAAAACCACAGTGTACAGCTTAGTCAGAAACTGACGCTACAGTAACCAGAGCTGGGGAAAGACTCTGTGTACATCGGGCCAAGGCTGCCATCGCGAAGTCTAGAAAGCTCATAAGCGCATCTGGAGTGCTCCTTGCTGCTGTCATGCGTCCTCCATTCCAGTAAAGCCCTTCCCTCCTGCAGAGCCTGCTGCAAAGGGCACGGACAAATCGAGCTGGACTCTCAGAGGATTCCACATAGGGTTTCACAGAGGATCAAGTGCAGGGCAAGGGCGAACACCGAAATACCCTCTTTTTTCCGTGGCCGTGGGCAGAGCCACCATGACCCCTCTTCACGTCTTCACACAAGGAAGGCTTTTCTCTTCTGGGACTGCGACACAGCAGCCGGGTCGGAAAGGAATTCCCAGCAGCGGCTGGCTCTGCCTCGGCCTGGCTGGTTTGCTCACCGAGGCGAACGGCTTTCTGAGGTGATGATCCCGCCTGGGCCCTCACCTACGGCAGCACCCTCAGGCAGAAGGAGCTGAGCCCGGGACCGCAACTGGACAACAGGAGGCGCTGCGGCTTTGCACAATCGCGCACTCCCCCTCCACTCTCCACCCGGCCCGGCGAGGCACCCCAGCCGGGGCGTCCCGGGGGGCCGGCCGGCGCGGAGAGAGGCTTTACCGGGCACCACGTCTACTCCTCCCGGGGAAACACCTCCACGGTTAGCAGCAGAACCCGAGCAGCGCGGCTGGCTTCGTGCCTGCGCTTTCTTCCCGGGTACAGAGGGAGCCCTGAGAGGAATAACCGGCGCCCTGGCGGGTGCTGCTCCCACGGGGTGGGCTCTGGGAAGCTGGGCAGCACCTCCCTGGGGTCGGTCACTCAGGGAGGAGTTGCCGCCAGCGGGGTCGCTGCGACCACCGCATCCCTCGCAGCCTCGCCGCGTGTGGCTGTAGTGCTGGGGGGGGCTGGACCCCACAGACCTGAGCACTGAAATGACCAAGGGTCTATATTTTCAGATGTGCAGACCGCTCCCATTAGGAAAAGAGGGATGGTGCATGCATGAATACCGCAATTTTAATATTCATTGGATTTTCCACTGGGTTTTGTTCCAATTTCCAAGGGTGTAGTTTGACCATTTGAGAAAGTAGGAGTTTAACCGCTTTTATGTATTTTATTTCCTTCAAGACACATTTTCACCCCTTCTTCTCGTCTGCTGATTCCAGAGTTTTGTTTGTTTCGAGGATTTGACTTTATTCTGTAGCTAGATTTAAAGGAAGAAGGACGAGGAGGGAAGGAACAAAGGAAGGGGGAACAGAAAACGCATTTAGAGGACAAGTTAAAACATATTTGTCAAGGCGGAGATATGCTCTATCTCTGCATTTGAATCCTGGATTTCAGTGTAAGAAATTTTAAAATTGTTTGTGAAAGTGGCGTTTTCGCAGACCCCTGGAGGGAAAATCGCTGTGGAAGCAACTGTGATCATGCTGAACGACAAACATGCCAAGCAGAAGTTCAGCCCCAGATGTGTATTTTGGTTTGCGTGGTATGATACAAAAGCCTTTTTCAAAATCCCAATAAACTTTAATTCCCTTTCAAATTCCCATTGCCCAGAAAGTTATTTGGGTTTGGGTGAATTTTGTTTGTTTGGGTGGTGTATGGGTGGGTATTTTGGTTCTGCCTTTATACATATATATATTACGATCAGGTGATAGAAATTCTAGTTGCTAGGTAGGAACAAACCCATAAAGGGTAGGGTAGAGAAGCCGAGAAAAGGCTGTGGTCTTGACATGAGCTCGACGACCCGGACAGGGCAGCAGCAGAAACAGGAAATGTTTGATTTATCTGCAAAGACTGAGATGTTCCCTCCATAATAATAAGCAGCGTTGTTCAATGTCAATTTGGCTTATCGGTGTTGCCCCTTTTTACCTTTTACCAGCCTTTGTAGATTCCTTATGCTCTATTCTTTGAGAGAAATCGTGTTAATGAGCAAGAAGTTGGTAATGAGATATCCGCTACTTGTTATTACTGCTCTTGGGTGCCAGGCACCAGAGAGGGCTTTCAAAGGAAGCCCTTTGGGCTGGAGGCTTTCCACAGTAAAGATATAAAATGGTTCCAGTGACTCACCTGATGTTTGCCAAGAGGAGGTTAATATCGGCGGATCCGCATTCAAGCCTCTGTCCGCATTTATCTGGTGCCTGTAGTGTTATGTCTCAGAGGGGTGACTCACATGGTTTCTAAACGTAAGGCACCAGAAAAGAAAAATCACCATCACACTACACAGGATGGCAGCGCCTCTTGAAGGGCTAGGTTTAGCCCATGGAGGGGGTCGGAGGGCTTCGGGAAGCGCAGAGCCGAACCCCTTCTGATCTGAGTCCTGAGCGTCCGGTCTGATCCCCGGGGGTGCTGTGGGCAGGGGGCGCCGTGGCAGCAGCGGGGTTGGTGCGGAGGTACCTGCGTGGTACCCAGCTTTGAAATGAGGGGCGGGAGCGGGGGGTAGCCTGTGGACTGCAGGACTCAGAACTTTGGAGCACATCCCGGCCATCGAGTTAAAGGAGCATCTACTGGACTTTACTAAATATTACCCCTAATTTCAGGTGTTTAAGGTTGCACGGCCTTTTGCATTCTCTTCAGAGGGGGCTGCCCTTCCCTTATCTACCTCATTTCATTTCCACCGATCCCTCCTAGCATTTGTCCTGTCCATCTGGAAGGGAGGGTGTGTCGTCGTCCCCCACCTCCCCCCACCACCACCCCTTTTCCTACTCTCCCCTTCTTCCACCTCTGTCTCTCCTTTCCCCACAAGCTTAAACCAATTACGCCGCTTTGCAAATAAAGTGCCGCCCCGGGGGGAGTTGCAGGCGAGGGGAACTGCCTTGTTTGCAGGTGCATCTTCGGCTTTGTAGGTGCGAACGCCTTTGTGCGGCGGACAAATGGGGAGAGGAGGAGGAGGTGGGTACTTCTGCGACGTAAGATCCACATCAGCTCAACTCCGCTCACATCCCAGCCGGCACTTCCTCACTTTCTCAACTGTCTCGCCCCACACCGCTCGCTGCCTTCTTTTTGGCTGATTATAGAGGAAAATTCAGCACCCCTCCAGCCCCTCCTGAGAGCTGGCTTCCTGCTAGGTGGGGGTTTCGGGCTTTTCTCCTGCTGCCCGTCACTCGCTTGCAAGAGGGCTGGATGGTTACACCGGGCAGGTTGGCTCCATAATGTTAGGGACTGTGAAAATGGAGGGGCATGAAACCAGCGACTGGAACAGCTACTACGCCGACACTCAGGAGGTAAATCCCAGGGTCTGGCTATGCTGCTACCCCTCTGCAAGGAGGGGAGTAGGAGGCCTGGGGGAGGGTTGGGGGACTGAAGGGGGGGGGGGAACAATCGGAGGAGTAGGTTAGCGCTCCAGATCCTGCCAGCGCAAACGTGCCTCCCCCTCCCTCCGACGCTGAAGCTGGGCAGACTTCCCCGAGGAAAACACGGCTTCCGACAGCCCCGGGAAGCGTTTGAGGGAGACCCGGGACGTCTCCGTCCCCGCTGGGGGGCCGGGGGCAGCTCTTGATCTCATCTGAAAGGCGTAATCTCCTCTTGCGTTGCTCACAAAATCGCCCCGTAAACTCTTGGCTCGGGGCAGGGGACTCGCCGCGCTGCCAGCCCCCGGCTCCTTCCCTGCAGATGGCAACGGCGGCAGGGGGGGTGGGGCAAGGGACCCGGTCGCAAACGCGTCCCGGGACCGGGGCAGCGCCTTTCCCGGGCCAGCCGGTGGGGCCACAGGAATCTGTCGCCGCAGCCGGGGGCCTCACCTGTTAAAGTCGTGAGAAAAGAAGGGGGAAATGGTGAAACAGCCATTTGTTCGTACTTTGCAAAACGGGCTGTCCGCGGCGAGCGCTGCTGCGGGGGCCCGGCTGGCGGCGCTGCCGAGAGCGGACCCGGGAGCCAGACCGGGAGAGGGGCCCAGACCCGGACCCACTGCCCCGGACCAGGCTCGGCCCGGCCCGCAGCACCCCGAGAGGCGCTTCCCACCTCCCTGTCCAAGCCCAGCGGCTCTTTGACAACGCGGTGCAAGAGACAGGGGATAACCGGCCAGAGCGCCAACAACTACGGCAGAGGAGAGGGCCACGGAAGCGGCCGGAGTCCTCCCCGCGCTCGCCTCTGCCCTGTGGGGCCTGGGGTTGACACCGTGCCCCTGCGGCTCTGCAGGAGGGGAGCCGCTAGGAGAAGGCAGCACCTAACAGTCCTGCCAGCAGCCCCCCGGATTCCCGCCCGGGAAGGAGCCTTTTTAAGGAAGTGTGGTGGCGAGACAAGCACCTAGGTGTGCGCACCCGGGCATTGCATCAGCACACCCGGACACACGGCTCTACAGTCCCCACGCCTCGGCCCTGCACCCCGGAGCTGGCACCTAGCCCCCGTGGAGCCACGCGGGCACAGGCTGATACGTGTCATCCTGCCGGCATCTTATTTAATAGAGGAAAGTCGGCTAAGGGCAAATAAGGGTCATCCTAATTGTGTGCCGTTTCCAGACTCATTTATCCTCGCCATGCTCATTGTCCACAAGCATACCTTCGCTTTTGCATTTTTTTCCTCAGTATTTTCTGATATTTAGTTTGAATCACTGCATGGAAGCAAGATGGGAAACCCATCCGTGTTCTACCATCCCAAAAAATGAATATGATCCTCTAAATTGAAAGCGCATTTATAAGCTCGTGGCATTTGAAGTGAACAGTAATGAATTTTGTACATTTAATAGTCGCTTAAACATCCTTTTCTGAGCCGTATTGCCTTTGTTCGACGTAAACTGGGAGCATCTTTCTCCTTTCTATTAATTAAATCAGGTGACATACTGGAAAGCACAATTTCAGGCTTTCCGGTTTTGCTTTTTTTAAGACCTGTGTTAGGTTGTAGGCTGCTACAGTTTTTGCATATCGGGCAATCGTAGAAAATTTCAGGCAGGGAAAGTTCAGGCTTTTCGTACTTTGGGAAAGTTTTTGGTGTTTGCGGTGTTTTGGTATGGGTTGCTGGTTTGTTTTTTTTATTATTTTTTTTTCTTCTTTTAACTTGACTTTAAAGGCTGACTTAATAATAAAAGCGGACTAGGGGAAACCTTTCCACAGACAAAAATGCGCGGACTTGAGCTGTTGCTGTTGGGTTTTTGGAGGCTTTTTTTTTTTTTTTATTGTTGTTTTGATTGTTTGGTTTGGGGTTTTTTTGGTTGGTTGGTGTGGTTTTGGTTTGTTTTGGTTTGTTTTTTTTTCTTTCTGGCAAGACATTGTCGCATCTTGTGTAAGAATAGAAATCTAAATCAGTGCAGGGTGGGAGAAGAGATGCATGAGATTATTCTAACGAAGTGGAGGCAGTTGAGCTCCTTTGCGCAGGCAGTGTAAGCCCAGAAATTTCAATAATCTGATGAATTTAAATATTTAATCGGCGAGACGGAGCACAACCGCGGGAACAGTCCGGGAGTAAACCTCCTCCCAGGGAAGACAGAGCCCGCAGCCCGGCCATGCAAGGGTGAGGAGCGGAGCTGCCCTGAGGAGGTCGTCGGTCCGTGCGCCTCGGTGATCCCGGCACAAGCCGCGGCACGCCTGTTAAAGGGAAGTGCGTCGGTACCGAGCAGCTCTGCACTGTGTCTATTTATAAACACATATAAATATGAATTAGCCCTTTTAATCGCGCCAGCGGCCTTTCCGTGCGGCTTCTGGGAAGCCCTCTCCCAGGTGGTGGGGGAGTGGAAGGCGTCCCATGGCAGGAGATGTACACGGCTTGCTGGCCAGGGCGGGCAGCGCGGGAGGGTCCGGGCCCGCCGGTGTCTTTCTTGCCCACCCCTCTTTGCCCCCCTAACCCGCTCTCTCCGTCTCGCTGCCCTAGGCCTATTCCTCGGTGCCCGTGAGCAACATGAACTCGGGGCTGGGCTCCATGAACACCATGAACACCTATATGACCATGAACACCATGACGACGAGTGGCAACATGACCTCCAGTTCCTTCAATATGTCCTACGCCAACACGGGACTGGGGGCCGGGCTGAGCCCTGGCGCTGTGGCCGGAATACAGGCGGGCTCGGCGGGGCCGGTGAACGGCATGCCGGCCGGCGTGGCCGCCATGGGCACGGCCCTGAGCCCCGGCGGCATCAATGCCATGTCTGCCCAGCCGGCCCCCATGAACGGGCTGAGCCCCTACGGCGGCATGAACCCCTGCATGAGCCCCATGGCCTACACCCAGTCCAACCTCAGCAGGACGCGGGACGCCAAGACCTTCAAACGGAGCTACCCCCACGCCAAACCGCCCTACTCCTACATTTCCCTCATCACCATGGCCATTCAGCAGGCCCCCAGCAAGATGCTGACGCTGAGCGAGATCTACCAGTGGATCATGGACCTTTTCCCCTACTACCGGCAGAACCAGCAGCGCTGGCAAAACAGCATCCGCCACTCGCTCTCTTTCAACGACTGCTTTGTAAAGGTGGCCCGCTCCCCCGACAAGCCCGGCAAGGGCTCTTACTGGACCCTGCATCCTGACTCCGGCAATATGTTTGAAAACGGCTGCTATCTCCGCCGGCAAAAGCGCTTCAAGTGCGAGAAGCCGGCGAACAGCAAAGCTCCTCAGGAAGGCAGGAAAGATCAGGCCGGGGCCTCCAGTTCCAGCTCCAACTCCCCACTGCACAGAGGCCACAATAAACCCGCACAGCTGGACACCGCCACCTCCCTCTCTGGCTCCAATCCGTCCACCAGTCCCCAGTCTATGGACCACAGCGGATCGAGCACGGAACTAAAGACTTCGGCCTCGGCCGCCTCCTCCACCATCAGCTCCGTCCCCGCCTTGGCCTCCGTCCCCCACCCCCCTCACTCCTTAGCCCACGAACCCCAGCTCCACCTCAAGGGCGATCCCCACTATTCCTTCAACCACCCCTTTTCCATCAACAACCTTATGTCGTCCTCGGAACAGCAACACAAGCTGGACTTCAAAGCCTATGAGCAGGCGCTGCAATATTCTTCCTACGGGGCCAGCATCCCAAGCGGGCTGCCCCTTGGCAGCGCCTCCATGGCGGGCCGGAGCAGCATTGAGCCCTCGGCCCTAGAGCCTTCCTACTACCAAGGTGTGTATTCCAGACCCGTGTTAAACACCTCCTAGCTCTGCAGCCCTCGCTGCCGGGGCGAAGCCTTCTTCTCCCTCACCCCTATTTTTCTTGGCTTCTCTCCCCTCTTTTCCTCTCCCTGCGCCAAACTGAGATGTTCCCTCACTCTGCGTGAGAAGGACTGTTACTTTTCAATTCTCTCGCAACGCGTAGTGTGTTGTTACGATCCTTCACGACCTCCTGCGGAGCCGGCTGCGTCCTGCTTGTACATACTCCCCCCCGCCTGCCGCCCAGCCTCTCTCCCCGGAGGCCCCCCCCAGCCTTTACAGGGTGTTATTAAAAAGAAGAAAAAATTGTTGATCTTGTAAACTACTTGTTTGTGCTTTCCGCCCACTTTTCTCCCCCCTTCTGTGCTCTATAATCTCATGTAAGTTTACAGGTATGTGGCAATACTTTAACAATACGGAGATGAAGAAGCGAGTAGACATTTAAAACTTTTTTTTTTAATTAAAAAGGCTTTGAAGGACAATACTGCTGTGAAGTAGCAAAACACTAAGAGAATCCCTAAGCAACAAGAGGACTATTTACTTTCTAAGATCATCCTTTTGATACTTGCAAAATAAACCTTCGGCTACTACAACCTGCATACACCCAGATGCTGCGGGTCGGATCCTGCACTCCCGAGGGGACCAACTGGAGCTTTGGAGTGCAGGATGAGACCCTTATTCTTTTCCTAAGTGTTACCTGTCTTGGGGTGTAACATAAAGTTAAAAGAGGTCACACAGCCAGTTGGAATTTCCCCCCCACACACATCTGTTACTGAAGATTCTCATTCATCAGGAACTCTCATCAACATGTGGATGACATGCTTATTTAAGTGTCTTCATTGTGTACCAGCTAGAAATGTTTGTCCATAACAAGGTTATTTTCCATTTTCCCAAGGAAACTTTGACTATTACACCGACATAAGGAAGAGAGGAGAGCTCTGCCTCTCTCCCCTTTTCTAACTTGTTTATTATTTTTTTTTTTTGTGGCCGTTTAATTATCGCCATCGTTAGCTTGTTTCATCCAGTGTTAATGCACTTTCCCCAGTTTTACACGGTGTTAGCATAGCCAGACGGGTTTTATTATTATTCCTGTTCGCTGTTTCGATGTTCTTAATTTATTGCATGGTTTATATTTTTTTTCTTTCTTTACAGCTGGAAATTGCTTTAAATGACATTTAAAAAAAGAATTACACGTGAATTTAAGAAATTTTGTTAATTTTATAAATGTGATTGTAATTGAAAAAATATTTTGATTTAAAACGATAAATGAGAATTTAATGCGTGAAGTATGTTTTTTGATCATTTGCAGTTAAGGACTTTAAATAAATCAAATGTTAACAATGAAAGACTTCTGCTATTTTCTTTCAAAATTTCTGGGACGGGTTACAGCTGACGGAGCCATGTGCTAGGAAAACAAACGCATGGATGTGACGACGAGTGGTCTGCGCGGCGCGGAGAAAGGAGACGCGCCCGCAGGGAGGGTTTGCGGGCTCTGCGATGCCACCGGCCTCTGCGGGTGTGGACGGGACGGGGGAGGTCTTCTTTTTTTTTATTTCACTGTGCCGGAATAGGTTGAGGGAGGGAAGGACAAGGCCCCCGAGGCAGTGTCACCTCTTGGGTGCTTAGCGGCAGGGGCGGCGGCAGCAAGACCCGGCGTTTCTCCGCCGGACAAGGCGACCCCGGATAGAGCATCTCTAGGGCGGCTTCCCCTCGCGCCGGGAAGGGCAGGGCCGACCTCCCGGCCCAGCTCCCTCTCCGTAGCCCTGGCTCGGATTGACCCCGGTGATAACAGCGGCAGTGCTGGCCGCGGCAGGCAGCATCGCCAGGGGAGGGGAATTTACACGTGAACAGGTTTCGCTGTATTGAGCCCCCTCCGTGCACTGCCGCCAGATAAAAGAACTGTGCAATTCTCGTAATTATCACATAATTGCCCCCTGACGAGTTAGGTACGGCGGCGACAATCTAAATTTAAGGGTTCATTTAGAACAGAAAAGCCAAGCGAGCGTCCCAAAAATCTCACCAAATTCCTCCAACACTACTACGCAATGGAAAGCCCACCGGAGTGTTCCCCTGGCAGTCCTGCCGCGGGGCTGGCTCCAAGGCTGCGCTACGCGGGTGCGCTCGGGCGGGCGGAGATTTACTGCGGTCCCTGCAAGTGGGAGTGCGAGGGTTTTTGTGCCAGGGACGCCGGGTGTGGGGGCATTCCATGACCCGGCTGTGCGCCCCTTCGCCCTCTGTG